GTCTCCCACCCCCTTGTTCCTCTGCCCCCTCCTCCCCTTGCTGCCAGTCCTAACGGAGGAGCGGTGAAAAGTGGGGGAGGGGGCTGGGGGGACATCTGATCCAAGGAGTTGTACAATCAAGTTATCCACAATCATTGCCATTGTGGCAGTACTGGAAAACTTCCCCGGTAACTTATTGGAATTTCGTTTGGTTAGCTTAATTAGCTACTGTCTTTTGCTTCGCAGCGGGCACCATCGCACTTCCGAGATTTAAAAAAAAAGATAGTCCTTTCTCATTCAGTTTTTGAGAAATTAGCTTCCAGAAATAAGTCCGAATGATAGCAAATGCCAACAGCAATCACCCATTGACAAGACTGCCGATGGTTCCCTCTTTTAAGGGTTGCTTAGAACGAAGATAGGGGTTGTGGGGAGGGGGTAAGAGGAGAAAAGAAGTATCTTTTTTGTTGCATATCAAATTTATGCCTGTAATTTACGTACTATGTAAACACTGTTGTGGTTTAATACACATTTGATGATGGAATGGAGGAGGAACGATGGGAAGAAGAAAAGCCAGCAAGTTTTGCCGCCGCATGAGCTTTCAAATATTTCTTGATACATTTTGAATGTGATATTGTTGTACGACCTTTATTTGTAAATGTATCAATTTCTTGTACTCCGTCCTCTTTCCAAGGGTTATCTAGGTCAAGGAAGAAGTTTTTTTTCGGTTTTTCCAGATAACTCGGCTTTTTTTTAAAAAAAATGAATTATTACAGGTTAGATTTCATGATTGAATCAAATTTAAGCTCAAATTGCATTCCCGAGCTTCGTGATTTCGCTGAAATTTGATGTTTTCATATCTGTTTTTTTTTTATCGTTTTGCTAACATGGCAAGTATTGGATAAAATCATTGCCAATTCACTTTTGTCTCGTGTACTGAAAATGTGGCTTTTTTGGCACACATGAATTATGTCGTACATGACGTTTGCTTGAGATTTCAGACAGTTTAGTGTTTTTTTGTGCATGTTTTATTGGTTAATCATTGGCGAA